GGAGGACTTCGTCGCCAGGGCTGAAAGACACGGCACGATGGGAGGCATCATATTCAAGCTTTCGATCCTGTTGCTTGGCTTCAGTGTTGACGCGAACCAGCTGGCGGCAATGAAGTAGACGAGACACGTATTCTTCACTTGAAGATGAACATGGTTTGACAGGCGCAGAGAAGAACGAAACATCGAGGAAAGAAGAGGGGAAGCGACCGTGGACGAGGTAGAACGGCGAGTAACCGGTTGTGCGCTGTACAGAGGTATTATACGCAAAAGTGACAAATGGCAAAATGGTGTCCCAGTTTCTGTGGTCGGGTTCGATATACATCGCAATCATGTCTGACAGTGTACGATGGAAGCGCTCAGTCAGGCCGTTCGTCTGAGGATGGTAACTGGAGCTTGTTTTGTGTGCAGTGCCGGCTGCCTTGAGCACTTCTTCGACGAGTGCTGAAAGAAATACTCTTCCACGGTCGCTCAGGATTACACGAGGAGCTCCGTGTCGAAGGATTATTGCTCGAAGGATGAAGTCGGCCACTTCCGAAGCTGATGCAGAAGGCACGGGAGCTGTTTCGGCGTAGCGGGTCAGGTGGTCGACAGCTGTAACTATCCAACGATTGCCCGTGACAGTCATAGGAAGCGGACCATACAGGTCAATGCCAACTACCTCGAATGGTTGCAGGGGACACGGGAGCGGTTGTAATTGTCCACTTCGAGTTGATGTAGGTAGCTTGCGACGCTGACAAAGGGCGCATGAGGCAACGTACTTCGCGACACAGGTGGACAAGCCCGGCCAGTAGTAGTGACATCTTATGCGGTCATACGTTTTCTGGAAGCCCATGTGTCCAGCAGACATGTCGTCGTGATATGTCTTGAGGACTTGAGCCCGAAGAGAGCGAGGTAGAACGGGCACCCAGCGTTGACCATCAGGGTGGTAGATATGACGGTACAGGACGTGGTTGTTGAGCTTGAATTGCGTCAGCTGTCGGCGAAGACGGGCGTTAGGGGGCCGGCAAGTCCCGTCAAGACGGTCCATGATGCGGCGACAGTAAGGGTCAGCACGTTGGTGAGATAAGAACAAACCACACTCGCTTGGAGAAGTTGGGTCCAAAGTAGTTAATGACGAAACATGTAGGGAAGAGACGGCCGAACGCTTCTCGTGTGCAGCAGTGGCGGGTTTGTTAAGCGGCTCCGAAGAGAGCGGGCAACGCGAAAGGGCGTCGGCGTCTTGATGCTTGTTTCCCGACTTGTATGTGATAGTGAAGTCGTATTCTTGTAAGCGAAGAATCCAGCGACCAAGGCGGCCGGACAAGTTCTTGATTGTCGAGAGCCAGCACAAGGCGTGATGGTCCGTAACCACAGTAAAGTGGCGGCCGTGGAGATAAGGTCGAAACTTTTGTATCGACCATACGACCGCTAGGCACTCCTGTTCGGTGATGGTATAATTCTTTTCAGTAGGGGTCAGTGCACGGCTCGCGTATGCGACGACTTTCTCACGTGAAGATTTGTCTCGCTGTAGAAGAATTCCACCAATGCCTCGACCACTAGCGTCTGTATGCAGGAGCGTAGGCGCGGTTTCGTCGAAATGGCAGAGGACTGGTTCGGATGTGAGTGCACACTTCAGTTGGGCAAACGCCGCTTCACATTCAGGAGACCACACAAAGGCGACGCCTGATCCGAGCAACTTGTGCAATGGTGAAGCTATTGAGGCGAAGTCTCGAATGAATCGGCGAAAATAAGAAGCGAGGCCGAGGAAACTGCGCAAATCTTTGGCTTTTTCAGGACGCGGGAAGTGTTGGACAGCGGAAATCTTGTCAAGATCGGGACGAATACCGTCCTTGCTTACGATGTGGCCTAACACTTTAATCGTCTTGCTCGCAAAACGGCACTTCTTGGTGTTCAGCTGAAGGCCTGCGTTTGCAAGGCACGTAAGAACTTCGTCCAGTCGTTGCAAGTGCTGAGAGAAGGTTGACGAGAAAATAACGATATCGTCTAAATAGCACAAGCAAGTCTTCCACTTCAAGCCTCGTAAAACTGTGTCGATCATCCGCTCGAATGTTGCTGGAGCATTGCAAAGGCCGAATGGCATGACGTTGAATTCATACAGCCCATCTGGTGTTGAAAACGCTGTCTTTTCTTTGTCATCCTCGTGCATGGGTATTTGCCAGTAACCTGAACGCAGGTCTAGGCTTGAAAAGTACTCAGCACCTTGCAGTGAATCCAAAGCATCGTCTATGCGCGGCATGGGGTAAACATCCTTGTGGGTAATCTTATTAAGTGCTCTGTAGTCCACGCAAAACCGCACGGAGCCATCTTTTTTCCTTACTAAAACAACAGGGGATGACCAAGGACTCGCGGAGGGACGTATAATGTTCCGTTGCAGCATATCGGCTACATTTTGTTCAATGATTTCACGCTCGGATGAAGAGACGCGATATGGTCGACGGCGTACGATGGAAGTGCCATCGGTCTGGATACGATGCCTAATAATGGACGTCTGTCCCAGAGATGAGGAATGGGCATCAAACAATCTCCTATGCTTTTGTAGCAAGGCAAGCAACTCATCTGTCTGTGAAGAGGTCAGTTCTGGACTAATAGTCCCAGCAAGAACAGAAACGCTTGATGAACGTCCAATAGAAGGAAGGTTAGAACACGCTGGCATAAGAGAGACAACAGAGACAGGTTGAGATTCAGAAACGCAAGCCATTGTGGTGCCTTTAGGAATGAGAATTTTCTCAGAAGTCTGGTTTGTAGCGTAGAGAAGTCCGGAGCCATTGTGGAATCGCGCTAGACCTGAAGCAAAGGCTATACCTCTTGCGAGACAGCGTGCAGATGGTTGGACAAACACGTCACCAGAGTCGATCACATTAGAAGTGGTGGCAACTATTCACTGATGACCAGGTGGTAGCTCGGTCTCTTCAGCAGCGAGCAAGCGAATGGGCTTGTCATCCGCATACAGGGCATAGTCAGTTTCCATCATATGAACAACATTTTCTTTACAGCAGATGGAAGCGTTCGCCGTAGACAGAAAATCCCAGCCTAATATAATCTGGTGGGCACACGAATTCAGCACAGCAAATTGTACAAAATGAAGAATACCAGCGATGAAAACGCGAGCGGTGCACATAGCGGCAGGTCTAATGGCGTCCCCTTGAGCAGCGTGCAGTGTAGGTCCATCATAAGGGGTGGTGACTTTTCGTAGACGTGAGCACAAAGAACGATCAATCACAGACAAAGAGGCACCAGTGTCTATTAAAGCGTCCGCGTACACACCTTCTATTAAAACAGCTATTGTATTATATGGACGCACTGGAGGAATTTCTGTCTTTTCGTTCGATGCAGCTTTTCCTCCAAAAGCTGCAGAGGTTAGTTTTCCGGGCGTTGGTTGGTGAATTGCGAGACAGGTCGCAATGGAGACGTGGAACGGCGGAGGGGTGAGGGTGAGCGGCGTCTAGTAGAGCGGTAGGAACTTGTTGGCTCAGATGTCGCAGTTGGAGACGGTGAGCGGCGTAGCGGCGGATCATAAGGACGACGTTGGAAAGCGTACCAGGTTGTCCCATCATCCCGTCCGTAGGTGTCGAGTCCACGACGCTCGTCCTGCTGACGCTTCCGACAGACGCGTGCAATGTGGCCCCGATAGCCGCAGTAATAACAGATCGGACGATGCGGCCGACACGGTGGGTGAAAGGGCTGGCTAGTCACACTCGGAGTTAACGAAGCCAGCGGGACAGGCGTCGAGTGTGCGGGCATCGGTTGTACCACGGGTGGTGAGCCAGCGAGGACTTGTGCGTACGTCGGTTGGAGTCGAGGTACTGGAGTGTCTACAAACGCTGGCCTGGTCATGGACGCCAACTCGTCTTTGATAACATCCCGCAAAACATTGTTGGAGGGGGGAGGTGGACTCGGTGTTATTGAGAGGCCGAAAGATTGTAGCTCTTCCCGTATAAGCGCCCGGATCATGGCACGCAATGAGGCATCAGTCGTGGTAGTGGTTTCAGAGCTGTCCGGCGGTAACCGTTGGGATTCAAGTTCTTCCAGGCGTTGGCACGTGGCAACAACGTCAGCGACCGTAGTCGGGTTCTGAATGACCAAGGCATTGAACGCGACCGTGCCTATTCCTTTTAGTAGATGACGAACTCTCTCTGATTCAGACATGGACGTGCTGAAACGGTGACAGAGAGCAAGCACATCCTCTATGTACGATGTGTAGGACTCACCGCATTGTTGCTTGCGAGAATCCAGTGTCTTCTTCGCGAGAGCTGAACGAACCGCCGGGGTGCCGAAAATTTGGCGAAGCTGTTGCTTGAAACGCGTCCAGTCCGTAATGTCCGTTTCATGATTGAAAAACCATGTTTTCGCTCCGCCCGTGAGGTAGAAAGAAACACGGCGAAGCTTGGTAGGATCATCCCAGTTGTTAGTGGAACTCGCTCGATTGAACTGGTCCAACCAATCTTCCACATCTTCACCTTGAAGTCCGGCGAACGTGGGCGGCTCACGCTGGTGCGCGGTGATAATCCACGATGGATAGGCCGTGGAAGCCGGGGCCGTGGAGGTAGACGCATAAGCGCCGTTTGGCTCGTCCTGAGGCATGTTACCGGACACCTGGTACAAACGACGACCTGAGCGCAGCTCCAGGAGGCAGATCGGGCTGGGAGAGGACGGAAGATCGTAGAGCACACTCCACCACTTGTGATGTAACAGTAAAGGCAACCTTTATTAGGCCCGGAAGACACGATGAAGCGACCACGCCCAAGGCACAGAACTCAGACAAGCCAAGTCCCCACAGCAGAAGAAGATGACGACCACTCATGATGATGAATATTTGTGAAGATAGATGATGTGCTTAATGAATGCCTACATTATTATTATTATTATTATTATTATTATTATTATTATTATTATTATTATTATTATTATTATTATTATTATTATTATTAATAATATTACTATTATTATTATTATCATCGCAACGTGGGTGTGCACATTCGTACAAAAGAAGATGGACTGACCGATAAGAGGTGCGCGGACCCACACGTTGAGACCGCACACCAGTGCGAAGCCGCCGAACACCAGAGGGAGCAGCTTGAGCCCAAAATCACCGATGAGGACGACGCCGGCGATTGGCATGCGCAGTCCGTTGCCGCAGCCCAGGATGAGTGAGCCAATGAGTAGCATCGGCAAATTGGCGCTGCACGCCAGAAGTTCGAGTGCGGAAGTCTGGAGCACGAAGCCTAGCAGCATGGCGCCGTCTGAGGTGAGCGCGCCGGAGTCGAGCACGAATCCGGAGACGCCACGGAAGACCACGTCGCCGACACTGAAGGCATGCAGGAGAAAGACAGCGCTAGTCATGTCCACACCTTTGTCTTTGGCCAGATCAACGGCCAGGGTCAGGTACAGAGACAGGGCCAGATACATCACGCAGAAGGACAGGGAATCCACCCAGAAGCGTAGGGTGGCAAAGTTTTTCAGCGCTTCTTTCGAGAGGCTCTTTTCCGCTGCAGTTCTCTGCTTGCAGTCATCGCGGAGAGTGACAAGCTCTTCGGGTGAAGCGCCTCGTGTTTCTGGCGGGCTGGCTATAGCGATTGCTGCCGGAAAGGCGTTCAGGCAAATGGCGCCCAGCACGAGGAAAGTCCCGTGCAGTCCGTATGTGGAGAGGAACAGCTCCACGAGTGGGGGAAGCACGAACGTGTTCAAGGCGGAGATGGTGAAGACAACGCTGTAGGCGGTGGCTCGCCGCTTGTCGAAATGTTGGGCCAGAACAACCGTGAGTGCCGTCAGCGTTCCAGAAATGCTGACACCTGCGAAGGGAACCAAGTATTGAGGTGTGCTCATCGATTCTCGACTACCGTGCAACGGGAAATGCTTTCGAAGCCAAATTTGGCACTATTTGTTCCTCAGAGCGCATAGTCCTCGGCCACGATTGCTCTAAAACAGAAGTCTCAGAACACGCACATCTTTTTTTTTTTTTTTTTACTCAGGCGTCACTGTTCTGAAGCAATGTTTTCGTGCCCCGTGTAGTCGCCATGTGTTGAAACAGAAGCATCAACCAAAAACTATATTTCAGTTTAGTTTTGGAGATCCATGCGGTGGAATTCTGGCATCACATAGAAAATGGCCTGAGTTATGGGAAAGGTTTCCTTTCAATTGCAAACGTTGCTGACAATTTGTGCACTCCATTTCCCCCTCGTTTCGTTTTTTTTCTTGACTTTTCCGGCCTTTGCAGCTAAGGCGAGGACTCCCCTCATAGCGTTTACGGTGTTGACGTGCGTGATTAGGTAAACGATGGCTCGAGCACGCATGCGTTGACAAGAAGCGGATTTACTCGAGGAAGAAACAGTTGCTATTTAGCGCCCGTCCTGTCTGTGTGTTTTCTTCGTTACTGTGGTCATTACTTTGGCGCGAGATCGACTATTGAATTCGTACCCCCTCTCCTAAAACACTCTTCTATGGGCAAAGCTCCTCCCACGTCAGGCATAACCGGCAGTATCTCTCGAACAGTATAATAAATGGCGCTACTGTAGGATTGGCCGCTGCGTGGGCCAATCCTAAATTGAGCGCATGACGAGTGCCTCGTATCCTGGAGCGTCCGCGACCCCCGCTTTCGACGAGAGTTCCTTCAACCTATCTTCGGCCACAATTGACGCACGCGCAACGGTCTGTGATTCGACAACCGCCTGTCCAAGGTTGGTTTGGCGCGGACTCGTCCGACTAGCAAGCAGTCGCTGACATCGATGAGTGTCACGCCCTTATGCTCACGTAGAACGCGAAATATGCTCCGTCGACGCCCGCAGTGTCTGCGGATATCTTTACTGAATCAAATGCCTTTTCGAGCCTAGGTATAGTGCTTGAGCATTTTTCTGTCGATTGATTGATAGTGTGAAAGTGGTCGATTGTTGAATAGTCTCTACGGAGGGTCTCGTAAGGATACCCATCCATTATTGCGATGGCTCAGAGAGCTCATTTCCTAGAAATTTCGGAGTAGGCATTGTTAGTTGTCAGCGAGAAATCATCATCTTGTGCGTGACCGAAAAAATGAGAAAGATGCAAATACGACTAACAATAAAAATCACGCCATATTCAAGGAATGAATGGTGATAAGTGGGCGAATCTCGAGAGGGGGAGATCATCGGTAAACCGTAACTCTTTCGTGAAAGTTAGCATATTACATCATTACGGAAGACTGTGCGTATATGATACAAATCAACTTCTATTTTGAGTGATTCGCAGCCATTTGCCAACACAGCTGCGCAATGCCAACACACAAGCCGTCAAATGTCGCTGACAAGCAACGACCATGCTGGCTCCCCGTGAAAGTTAGCCCGTAGTACCGTTAGGAAGATGTATGGCTGTGCGTATATTACACAAACCAACTTTTATCTTGTTCCTATTTGCAAAAGTGCTTTATGGTCGGTGAAGTGGAGGATAGGTGATGGGACATAGTGGAATGTTTGCAAGGACGATGTAGTGGGCAGTTCGCAAAGGTGGCTACGCACTGGTCACAGAGGAAGGAAATACCCATGGCTTTAGAAGCTTCGTCCCTAAAAACTTCGCGTTGAAGTGGGGATCGAACCAAGGTCGTTTCTACCACGCAGCCACGCGTATGATTGTGAATACAGTGAAAGTAGCCTTCTAGAAAATGCAGTGAATGTAACTTTCAGACTTTACAAACACACGCGTCCTTTACACATGCTGCGTAATGAAACATGAAATATTGCTTTAATAATGCGTGATACAAGCGTACGTTGCCATCGAGCGTCAGAACATATGATTATCCTAATGACTTCGTGGTTTAAAGCCAGTGAACCCACTACAAAAGGGACACACGTTACTGCGCCTGCTTCTTTAAGGCCACGTGGTGGGTGCATAGCAAGTTCGAAAGATTTCATGCACTAAGTGCTTGAAGTACGCCAGCGCCTCCTAGATTTCCTGTGCCTGCCGGATGAGCGCGAAACGCTGGTCATCTATGGCGGCGCTGCCTACGTAGGAGTAAGGATATCTGTTCTTGGCTTTTGAGATCGGCAATTTTGGCGTTTGCAACTAATTTTAGGAGGTGCCTTGCATTAAAAAAGTTGCTTGCTGAATGACGGCGTCACTTACGTAAGATTAATTATATTTACGTTTACGCCTTTTAAAAACTTTTTACGTTATTTTTGTTGCATATAAGCTCCAAAAACGTAAAAACCTATTTGAAGACACCCCTACTTGAGTGGCGCCACCACCGTAGTTCCGACGACCGCCGCTTCCCAAGTGACCACCGATAATCCGGCAGGCACGGGAAATCTAGGAGGCGTTGAGTACGCATAGGGATAGGATATCGCTATCGCGTTCAACTTTTAAAGGTGAAGCCCCGACTTTTAAAAAGATACTGCCATTCGTAATTCGAGAATGTCTTTCAAACACGTACGCACCATTAAGTATTCCGTAGGAGACAGCGATGAAGGTGACATTAGCAGCAAAATAGCACAGGATAATTCCAAGTGGGCCGGCAAGTCCACACCACAGAAGCACCGCTCGGCAGGAAAAACGGGAACACAAGTAGCCGAAAACTGGATCTGCGTGAAGCCACATGAGCATGAATGTTGGCGCTCCTCTCAGTTGACGTGTTATGTTTGCACATCCACCCATTTCCGTGGTGCGATGGCACATTAATGACTGCTCGCAATTGTCGAATACTTTTTTTCGAATAATTGATACATGTGACGAGGTACACTAAAAATGGCCGAATGGCCGAAATGGCCGAAATGGTATTACGTGTGCTCACGTAATACCCCATTCGGTTTTTCTATCCGCGCAACCAGAATAAGAAGTAGAGGTGTACAATAAGTAAATAGACCAGGTGTATGACAAAGAATATTACATATCCAGCTTTCCTGGACACGAGTGGTTTGGTTCGCGTGAACGACACCACGTGGAGTATTGACGGTAAAGAATTCAGAAGTCCCGCCATGCTCTATGCAGGGACGCAGCACTAAATGAAATGTAATAAAAAGAAACAGTGCACACACAATGAGATGTTTCTTTCCTCTCAGTGCGCAGATAAAAGAGCGTGGTGTGTCGGCGTTATCTCAACGGCGACGACAGGCAATACATTAACAGTTTTTATGGGCATAGCGTGCCAGACAGCTCGCAGCATTCCGCACGAAATGCCTGGCCGTCATATATAAACTTTAACCCTTGGTGTATCAAAGGAAAGGTGTTTGTTTTTAGCTTATGCACAGCCGTTTCGGTGTGGATATTAAACAGGCATGCTGCTTTCACAGTTTCATGTTAAACGAGCGTCAGGCATTGTGCTTGGGTACGAACGGGACATAGCGGTTGTATAATAACCATATTTTTTGTGTATGCGTTACTTAAGCAATGCTCGCTTGCTCCTTGCGCTACGTCAAGGTAAAACTAGATAACTTTGAGAACGCTATAAAGGAGCGCATGTAAATGAAGTGAAAGATATGCATTTTTTAAAATTAAGTTCTTGTCAAAGTGTGGCTGCCACCTCCAGCTTGGCGCCGTCGAAGCGGATGGGAATCGAATACGCACGCAGTCAGATTTGCTTTAAACCGCATCTTGATCTTGGTGTCACACGGACATTTTTGGTCGTGATCAAGGCCGGTACGGATCAAGTTTGGTTCGAAGTTTAGTCACATTGCGATTTAAAGTAACCATTCAACATCACCTCAGACTACGTCGTGATCAAGCCTGCGATTAAGCGCTCTTAGGTCAGCCTGTCGACGCTGTCGGGTCCACGTGCTGCGCGCACTGCAGGCCCTACCCGCTCTAGCAAAGAGAAAAAAAGAAAAGAGAGAGAGAAACCAACAATAATATCCTCAGTCAAAACCTTACGACAGAGTAGAACATAAATATTACTGGATAACTTGAAAGTTTATGATACCCCTAATTATATAATGAGGTGGTTTACGGGGTTTTAACTGAGGAGGGAGTTTTATTGTTTACTAAAGTGTCATTTCACGAATATACATTCCAGACTACGAGGAGCTCGTGAGGGAGCTATTATTTCACTTCTTCTTTTTAATACGTTGCTAAGCGCTATTCATGACAAAGTAAACACATATCTATATGCAGATGATATAAAATTTTTTGCTTCAGACAGTCATATACCTTAATCATATATTCGCCTACATATATACGTATAAGTGAGCCATCAAAAATTGGTTGCAGGCTATCCGTTTATGTTTTAATGTTTCAAAAAGCCCAAATATAGTTTTATTTTTGGACAACCCAGTTACTATTAGAACAACTAGCAACGTGCTGAACATGCCCCAGTAGGACTCTGTAAAATATCTGGGAATATCTTATGATAACCACCTCCTTCGGCATACGACCAAGAAAGGAGAACGGGCACTGGGAGTCCTAGGAAGGATGTGGAGCGGTTGATCGGGGATACGGAGAGGCACACTATGCTTTACAAAATCTACATACACGCAGCTTTTCTGGACACCAGCGGTGTAGCCTCGTATTAGAATTTGGACATGTTTTATATTTTGGTGCACCTGCTTTTAAATTGTGTCTTCTAGTACTCTTGGAAAGGGAGGCCTAAGTTTATTCTTTGGATTACCGAAATTCATAGCCAATAATACCCTCTACTTATAAGCGAGGTTGTCCTCTATTTTGTGCAGATTAGGAATATTAACTGTGCAACCATTCCTACATATCTATGATAATTCTATAAAACTAAAAAAATAAGTTTCATGTATTCATTAGTCAGAGTTGATTTTTCTATCCTATTGACCTCAGTTTCATACAGCGTAAATGGGCTTAGCAGAAACACTCATTGGAGCACTAACTGCTGAACTGACAGAAGTTCCTTGCATCGGTAATGAAAGACAAAACTTTAAAAAACATTTTTTTTCACGATGTATATCTGAATTATGGAAAATTTCGCCTTAGCATATAAGAAACCAGCTTCTGCAGATGCATTTAGAGTGGATAAATACAAATAAATATCATAGCTACATTCTGAAGAAAGAGCCGGCATCGTTATTTTTTCCGAGACATTCAATTGTTAGTGTTTATAAGGACTTCCCGATTTTTTATCAATTTCTTCGGCGAAACGACATTAGGAACACCGAGCCCATCAACCTCAAGTGGGGCCATCCTTTATTTGTCTGTCGCTAAAAATAGCGGTGCTCAATTACCGCTGGGCTTTGTGACGTAGAACCCTAAATATATTATTATTATTATTATTATTATTATTATTATTATTATTATTATTATTATTATTATTATTATTATTATTATTATTATTATTATTATTATTATTATTATTATTATTATTATTATCATTATTACCCTCATCAAGTGTAACAATCTTTTTATTTTTTGTTCTTTAATCACTTGACTATATTCACATTAATCTTGGGGTACCGGACCACAGAAGCATAAAAATATGAATGAAAATGACGAAATAGCGGACGCTCCGTCGAAAGGTGCTCTCAATGGTCTGATATTCTGAAATATTTTGACAGCAGTCCTAATGATTTGTGACAGATTGAGAAAGTGAGCAATAACTTGAAACGGTGAAGTCATTGATCACTTAGCTAAACGAGTATTGACACCTATTGTTCCCTTGGCCTTAAAATTCCTGGTCAACACGAAAAGCGGTCTAGTTACTCTCATAGAATTACGCTGTCGTGTTCCGAAATTGCCCCACCACGGTGGTCTAGTGGCTAAGGTACTCGGCGGCTGACCCGCAAGTCGTGGGATCGAATCCCGGCTGCGGCGGCTGCATTTCCGATGGAGGCGGAAATGTTGTAGGCTGGTGTGCTCAGATTTGAGTGCACGTTAAAGAACCCCAGGTGGTCGAAATTTCCGGAGCCCTCCACTACGGAGTCTCTCATAGTCATATAGTGATTTTGGGACGTTAAACCCCACATATCAATCAATCATGTTCCGAAATTGAACTATTATACGCACAGAGCTAATTTGACTCCTTTCCCTCTTTGCTAGTTTTGTAACAAAGAAGAAACGACTGGAAAATATTTATTATCATGCATCTACTTCATTTAGTGAGGATGTTTATTCGAACCAGATTGGAATTCGTAATTTTAAATATTCTATCCTTGGGAGCCCGTCACTATCAGTGAGACCTCCATCCCACGGCAGACAATTTTTTAAATGAATCAAAGTGGTGTTGATCTGAAGTATCTAAATTAGCGTCATTATTTTGTTTAACTAATATATAATTCATTAGTCATACAATTCTTATCTGATCATTTTGTCTTATGAATAATTCATTTCTCGGCCAGTCCAGAAGAGTGGGCGTGAGCCATACATATTTATGGTTATCATCATCATCATCGTGATCATCATCATCTGAAAGGGAAGTGGCTCCACGTGAAAAAAAATAGACAGGAGTGATGACAAGAAACAAAGAATGACAAACAATATTCGGCAGATCCTTCGTACCTGGGAATCGACGTTATGCGAAGCATGCGGAAAAAAGGTGACCATGTTGCAATATTTTTATTGAGCGAGAAATCATCAAATGACGTTAAATGTATGTACAAATGTGGCACGCACAGACATATGTTGAAGAGTTGTAGGTGACTATATTGCCACGTTTCATTTCCCAAGTTGTTTTATCGTCCCAAAACACTACGCAATTCTCAGCGCGTACCACGCCTGCAGTTTTCGAGAAGCTTCCGGACTTTAGTAGATCATTTCGATAAGATCACGCCTACTCTGCGAACTGGAACCTACGCCACCGCCAGCGATAACGCCAGAACATTCGACGGCAAGAGTATAAATGCCGACGCGCTTCGCCCCTTTCAGTAGTTGATCGACGGTCGACGCTCCGTTCGCCGCTATCAGTTCAAGACTGCTACTGTAATCGTACTTTCCGTTTACCGGGCACAGGTTCGCCCAAATAAACAGTTAAATTCCAACGCAAAGTCTCCTGTCTTCGGCCACGTCACGACCCCGTGGCATCTGGTGGAGGTGCTGCTTCTTTGATGTTCCGGACGCCCTCTTCAAGCCGCGACCCCAGCCCAAGCAGCAAAGAAGACACGGACGTTAACCCTGAACAGCGAAAAAGCCGCAGGCAGAGGGCACTAAACCAGAGTACGGGCCCCTTCTTGAAGCAGCCAGGCAGACCCGGATCCCGACATCAACTACTGCAACCATGACCGCCCTCTTGCAGCCTGAACCACTCCTGCTCCGGCAACCCAAAGAGCCGCCAACATTCCGCGGTTCGCCACAGGAAGACCCGGAAAGCTGAATCGAAAGGTTCGACCGCATCGCCGCCTTCAATGATTGGACAGACGATGACAAGCTCCGGCATGTGTATTTCGCCTTAGAAGATGCTGCTCGGACCTGGTTTGAGAATCAAGAGCGAAGCCTTACAACGTGGGACGTATTTCGCGCCAGGTTCCTCACTACTTTCGCAAGTGTGGTGCGCAAGGAGGAAGCCGCCGCTCTTCTCGAAACCCGCATGCAGATGCCAAACAAAAACGTGGCGCTATTCACGGAATATTATGATTAAACTTTTCTGCCACGCTGACTCTGACATGTCCGAGGAGAAGGTCCGTCTGCTCATGCG